ACTACAAAAATAATTCAAATTTCACTATAAAAAAATATATCTAACTTCTATGCCCTGTGTTTTTTTTTATCAATGTAATATAAATTTTAATGTTTAGGATTTTTACTTTTAATGCACTATGTCGCTTATAAACTATTATAATTATACATTATTTGGACATGTCTTCCTAGTATGACCAGAGATGTGACAATAAGAACAATTTTTTACACGATTATGTTGTTCTCTAATGTCCATCTCTGTTCTAATCTTGCTGGACTTTGGCCGACCCTTGAAAGTCCTCTTGAGTTTTGGATTTGGCCACATAGTTGGACTAGTGTAAGTAGGTCAATAGTCTTCATGTCGGAGCTCTCCAAATTGTCCTTCATGTTGGAGCTCCGACATAAAGATTATTGGCCTACTTACACTGGTCCAACCAACTATGTGACCAAATCCAAAACTTAAGAGGACTTCCAAGGGTCGGCCAAAGTCTAGCAAGATTAGAACAGAGATGGACATTAGAGAACAACATAATCGTGTAAAAAATTGTTCCTATTGTCACACCTCTGGTCACACTAGGAACACATGTCCAAATATTAGTCATGGATTTAGTTCCCGCCATCATTGATTTTATTGTTGTAATGAATTTTAATAAATTTATTTAGTTATATTTATAATGTTAATATTCAATAAATTTAATTACTTGATGTTAGTCTTTGAGACTACGTTGTGTTTGTGTTGAAAGGGTAAATTGTGTTCGCTGCAATGCGAAGTTTGAAGCTAGATTTAAAGGAAACACCTTTGAAGTATGAAGCTATAGTGTCTTAAACTTGAAAACACGAGATGATAATAATGGGACATTGTCTTAATAGATTTGAAACTTGTACGAGTCAAACTGTGACTAATAATGAAAAATCTGGATAACCTGCACATCACACTACGAAAACATGTCCAAATAATATATAATTATAATAGTTTATAAGTGACATAGTGCATTAAAAGTAAAAATCCTAAACATTAAAATTCATATTACATTGATAAAAGAAGACAATGCATAGAAATGACCATAACGGGTCGTTCTAAAAGCAGAACGGGCCGTTTTAAACTACTTAAAGGGCTAAAATCCCTAATTTAGAATGGGTCGTTTCACCATTCACTAGTGAAAAAAGCACTTTTAAAATCGGTCATTTTTTACTTTTAAAATCGGTTCGCTAACCGATTTTAAAAGAGCTGATTTTAAAAAGTGGTACTTTTAACATCGGTCGCTGACCGATGTTAAAAGTCTAACTTTTAACATCGGTCATGCCATGACCGATGTTAAAAGTGGTTAATTTTTTTTTGAATATTTGACTTATTTTAGCAGGATCCCTGAACAAAACCTGTAAATTAATAAAATACCAGACAATTCATATGTTCTTAATATATCAAATTACATACAAATGATAAGAGTTGGTAAATGTCAACCATATATGTAATCAAAGTAACTTACAAATTATTATGCATCCTAAACTACAAAATGAGTAAAACTATAAACATAACTTGTAGCTAGCCAATGTTTCAATGAAAAATGTAGCTCATTGCTCCCTAATGGTGTTTATATCTTCTAGCGTTACGATTAGGACACAACACCTTTTTTGCCTCGTAGTTACGATTAGGCAATGTGTTACCCTCTGGAAGCATTTCTTTCAGTAGCTCTAACAATTCTGTGAAGCTTTTATCACTCCATCCATTTCTTGCCTTCAAATTGAACAATCTTAATATGGTTGAAAGTCTTGTGAATTTTGTACAGTTTGGATACAACAGCTTCTCCAAATCGTGTGTTCCTAGTGTGACCAGAGGTGTGACAATAGGAACAATTTTTTACACGATTATGTTGTTCTCTAATGTCCATCTCTGTTCTAATCTTGCTAGACTTTGGCCGACCCTTGAAAGTCCTCTTGAGTTTTGGATTTGGCCACATAGTTGGACTAGTGTAAGTAAGTCAATAGTCAACGAACAGGGACTTCAGTGTCCGGCTGCTCATTCGGTGGGATTTGGGTCAAATTGACATATTTCCCTCGATAGAAGTCCATGGACATATCAAATTGAAAGTCCTGAGGCAAACTCCAAAAATGCCGAGCTTGCCGAGCCGCTTGGGCGAAGCCGGCTTCATGCTGAGAAAAAACCTTGCTCCTGACCCTCTCCCGGTATGAGCCGAACTCCTTCTTCTCGGCTTCTAGCTCCTTCAACAGCAAAGCAGACTTCTCAGCCTCGGTCTTCAGCAGATGCTCCAACCTTTGAACCTTCAAGGTCAGGTCATCATTCTGCCGGCTCCGACGTTCCGCCTCGCATTTCTTCCCTTGCCCTTGTGCCTCGGATAAAGCTGCCAAGGTCTCCTGCACGGACTTCTCCGACTCGGCCAGCTGTCGGCGCAGTCCGTCGGCCTCGGCACTTGGTTGCATAATAATGCTTTGAGCCAAAGCCAGGGCCCGAGCCTGTAACTCGCAGAAAAAGTCCACTTATGGGACGCGGTCATCTGTCCCAGTATGGACTGCCCCATCTCTGAAGTCAGGTCTTGACTCAAGTAATCTTGGGCACTGACATTCGAAGCCAAGAAGCTGGGACTCACAAGCCCCTGAGGAGCCACAAGAGCGGGCAGCCTTTGTTGTTTTTGCCGGCGCGCTTCGGCCTCGGCCTCAGCCCTCCTTTTGTTCTTCGCCCTTAAGGCATCCTGGTTGCTCTTCTCCCTTGGCTGCGGTTGAGGCCCCTCTGGTCACACTAGGAACACATGTCCAAATATTAGTCATGGATTTAGTTCCCGCCATCATTGATTTTATTGTTGTAATGAATTTTAATAAATTTATTTAGTTATATTTATAATGTTAATATTCAATAAATTTAATTACTTGATGTTAGTCTTTGAGACTACGTTGTGTTTGTGTTGAAAGGGTAAATTGTGTTCGCTGCAATGCGAAGTTTGAAGCTAGATTTAAAGGAAACACCTTTGAAGTATGAAGCTATAGTGTCTTAAACTTGAAAACACGAGATGATAATAATGGGACATTGTCTTAATTGTTGTAATGAATTTTAATAAATTTATTTAGTTATATTTATAATGTTAATATTCAATAAATTTAATTACTTGATGTTAGTCTTTGAGACTACGTTGTGTTTGTGTTGAAAGGGTAAATTGTGTTCGCTGCAATGCGAAGTTTGAAGCTAGATTTAAAGGAAACACCTTTGAAGTATGAAGCTATAGTGTCTTAAACTTGAAAACACGAGATGATAATAATGGGACATTGTCTTAATAGATTTGAAACTTGTACGAGTCAAACTGTGACTAATAATGAAAAATCTGGATAACCTGCACATCACACTACGAAAACATGTCCAAATAATATATAATTATAATAGTTTATAAGTGACATAGTGCATTAAAAGTAAAAATCCTAAACATTAAAATTCATATTACATTGATAAAAGAAGACAATGCATAGAAATGACCATAACGGGTCGTTCTAAAAGCAGAACGGGCCGTTTTAAACTACTTAAAGGGCTAAAATCCCTAATTTAGAATGGGTCGTTTCACCATTCACTAGTGAAAAAAGCACTTTTAAAATCGGTCATTTTTTACTTTTAAAATCGGTTCGCTAACCGATTTTAAAAGAGCTGATTTTAAAAAGTGGTACTTTTAACATCGGTCGCTGACCGATGTTAAAAGTCTAACTTTTAACATCGGTCATGCCATGACCGATGTTAAAAGTGGTTAATTTTTTTTTGAATATTTGACTTATTTTAGCAGGATCCCTGAACAAAACCTGTAAATTAATAAAATACCAGACAATTCATATGTTCTTAATATATCAAATTACATACAAATGATAAGAGTTGGTAAATGTCAACCATATATGTAATCAAAGTAACTTACAAATTATTATGCATCCTAAACTACAAAATGAGTAAAACTATAAACATAACTTGTAGCTAGCCAATGTTTCAATGAAAAATGTAGCTCATTGCTCCCTAATGGTGTTTATATCTTCTAGCGTTACGATTAGGACACAACACCTTTTTTGCCTCGTAGTTACGATTAGGCAATGTGTTACCCTCTGGAAGCATTTCTTTCAGTAGCTCTAACAATTCTGTGAAGCTTTTATCACTCCATCCATTTCTTGCCTTCAAATTGAACAATCTTAATATGGTTGAAAGTCTTGTGAATTTTGTACAGTTTGGATACAACAGCTTCTCCAAATCGTTGAATGATTCTGGACCCACATCACGAAGCATCTCCTCTAACCGATCATCCATATCTATCTCTTGTGTAAATGTTTGAGTTTGAGTTTCAACTGATACACGTTGAATGTCAACATTTTCACCATGCCATATCCAACGTGTATAATTCTTAAGAAATCCATCACACAAGATATTCTCTTATAACATCAAGTTCTAGGCGAGTCGCATCACAACAATTAACACAAGGACAAAAACACCTTCCATTCATATCATCATTAGCATTTCTTATTACATATTCAATAAAATATTCTACTCCAGTCTCATACTCATCACTTATACGTGATGCATGTATCCAACTTCGATTCAATAACCAACTTTTATCCATAACTTATGTTCTTCATAAAAAAAACATAGACCATGACACCATTGATTTTATTGTTGTAATGAGTTTTAATAAATTTATTTAGTTATATTTATAATGTTAATATTCAATAAATTTAATTACTTGATGTTAGTCTTTGAGACTACGTTGTGTTTGTGTTGAAAGGGTAATCCCTCCGAAGAATCCACCTAAAGCTCACGTTCGGCCCTCTTACACCCCAGAAGACTACAAGTGTACTCTCAAGCAGGTACAATATTAATTAATGAAACAAATATTAATTAATAAATGAATGAAAGAAATAATTGATGTTATATTATGTTAATTTTAGTGCGGATAAAAAATTGAAAGAAAGTTAACTGATTTAATTATTTGAATGAGAAGAGAGGAAGGTGATGTAAGAAAAAAGAAATAATGAAAAGAGAATTTGAAATGGAAAAGGGCGCGGCTAGTGGGTAGATCTGGAAGTGTCCGTTACGTTAGGTTACAATTTACACCTCTTCGCCCTTCCCAATTCTCCCATTCAAATCCTTTGCCCTAACAAATAACAAATAACAATCTCTTCTCAGCAACCAGGTTAGGTTTTTCTCTTCTTCATCTTGTTGTTGTCTCATCTATCTGAAATCAGTTATTTATTTAGACAGGAACAAACAATGGACAAGTACGAGAAGCTGGAGAAGGTGGGAGAAGGAACCTACGGGAAAGTGTACAAAGCAAGGGAGAAAGCCAGCGGAAAATTGGTGGCGCTGAAGAAAACGCGTCTGGAAATGGACGAAGAAGGGGTACCTCCGACGGCGCTGCGCGAAGTCTCCCTCCTCCAACTCCTCTCCCAGTCCCTCTACATCGTCCGCCTCCTAAACGTGGAACACGTGGACAAGGTCCCCAAGGCCCACGCCGCCTCCTCCAACCCCCAGGCCCACACCAAGCCCATCCTCTACCTCGTCTTCGAATACCTCGACACCGACCTCAAGAAGTTCATCGATTCCCACCGCAAGGGCCCAAACCCTAGGCCTCTTCCCCCCTCCCTCCTCCAGAGCTTCCTCTTTCAGCTCTGCAAGGGCGTCGCCCACTGCCACGGCCATGGAGTCCTCCACCGCGACCTCAAGCCGCAGAATCTTCTCCTCGACCAGCACAAGGGGATTCTCAAGATCGCCGATCTTGGCCTTGGTCGCGCTTTCACCGTTCCTCTCAAGAGCTATACTCATGAGATTGTCACTCTCTGGTACAGGGCCCCTGAGGTTCTCCTTGGCGCCACCCATTACTCCACCGGAGTTGATATCTGGTCCGTTGGCTGCATTTTTGCTGAAATGGTCCGAAGGCAACCTCTCTTTCCTGGCGATTCTGAGTTCCAGCAGCTCATTAACATATTCAAGTATGTCTCTCTTTAAACCTTATATTACTTCTCACATTTCATACTTTGTTTGCTAATTTTTAATTTTAATCCTTCAAGGATGTTGGGGACTCCAACCGAGGAGCAATGGCCGGGAGTTACTTCTCTGCGGGATTGGCATGTTTACCCACGCTGGGAGCCTCAGAGCTTGGCTAGGAATGTGCCCACCTTAGGACCTGACGGACTCGACCTTCTCTCGGTTTGTATTTCTATTTCCTTTCTTAACTCCAATGCTTTATGCTTCTCAATTCAATTCATAGCCCTTTACCTAGTTACACACCACAAACTCCCAACTGATTTGATTAACTAAACGCTTTCCCATGGATGCTCTGTATCTTAACCATCCAACAAAATCAAGAGGACTTTGACAGCCTGTCACATGTAGCTGTAGCTGTTCTGATGCATTTTTATCTCAATGTATCTTTCCTCGGCTAAATCAGTAACGGGATGATAATCACTCAATCATGCATTGTTGCATATCTTAGGCTGTCATGTAATCTTAAATGAAGTATTAATCTAGAGTTATGCTAATTTTGGGTTATGTACTTGTGTAATACAATAATATCTTCTCTCCATTTTTTGGGATTTGGGGGTACAGTACACAAAGAAAATCACTAGATGCATATGTAAAGAAAAAGGATGGCATGGTTTTTACTTTCTAGTCCTATAAAAAGGGATAGAAGGAGTTCATGAAAAATAATTAATGTCATTGAAAGATTATTTTTAGATTGAGAGTTGATTGGAGTTTGTTATACACCATATACTTGAATTAGTTTTTAGACTGAGCCCAATTATATACCCTATGCTTTAAATAACTACCTTCACTTTCCCCGTATTCAACAATATATTTTTTTTGACCTGCAGAAAATGCTTAGGTATAATCCTTCTGAGAGAATATCTGCCAAGGCGGCACTTGATCATCCCTACTTCGACAGTCTTGACAAGTCTCAATTTTAGTTGTGCCTCTAAGTCAAAAGGTTTTGTGCAGGAAGTGTCTGTTAAGCAGTGTTATAATAGCAGTCTATGAAAATTAATTCATGGATGGAGTTCAAAGATATGTCACTTTTTTTGTGTTAAATTTCGTCATCATCTTGGTGATATGAACAGTCCACTCTTTAGGTCAGTTCATGATTACCATAGTCTCTGTAGGACCCGTGAAGAACTTAATGCTCCTCAAAAGTTGTATTTTCTGTTGAAATGGAAAGGGATAGTCTATGACTATGTTTTTAACTATGATAGTGCATAATATTTTATCATTTAAGGCTGGTTGAATTTTCAGTTGAAATTGAAAGGGATAGTCCATGACTATGCTATTAGTGCATAATATTTTGTTGTTTTAGGTTAGTCGTTAGTAATATCAATTTAGAATATGGCTTTGTGGTTTTCAAATGACCATCTTTATGGTTTTCTGTTTATGCAATTTGTCGGTGTCCTACTAAGGAGATCGCCCGATTTCAACAAAGAAAGCCAAAATTTAAGGTTAGGCAGTAAACATCAACACCAATATTTATGGACAACTTGACCTTTTTTCAGATGTTATTGTCGATCCTCATTTGAGTAACTCATTTTCTACAGGTAAATTCTTATTTTTAATGTTAGAGGGTGTGCGCCTTTAGTGTTTGATTGTATGATTTTTTTACTTTAATCGGACATTTTAAAATGTATATTTTTAGTCTTTTGTATACAAAACGATAGATTTAAATAATGAAGGGAGAACGTTAAAATAAGAATTTTGTAAAACCAGGAAGTAAAATGACATGTTATAATTATAAAGAGAAGGTATACATACTATTTGTGATTTCAAGCACATTGGTGAGGTATGATATGCCGTTTGTGTGGAGAATTATTATTGTTTTTTAATCTGAAATAATTTAATTTTATGAGGTATTTGAATTAAAAAAAATGTCATATCGTTATTTCTTATGTACAGTCTTTTTACTTGGGATTAGTTAAATAGTATTCCATGTTAATTTTAGGAACGATAATTAATACAATATAGGAATATCTGGGCTAGTGTTATTGTTTTAAGAGGAAAAAGCGTTGTGTTCAGATTCATACTTATTATGAGTAGTAATTATAATATTTATTAATAAATTGATAATTGATATTGATAATTGATAATTTCTTACATATTAGGGTTTATACTTAAAATTACCCATATTTAATTAAATAAATTTTCTGTTTCAATATTAAAATTAAAATACGAAGTTTTCTTATAATTGTAATATGTATGAATAATGGTATTCGATATATACTACATTATTACTTAATTACTGGAGCTTTCACTTATTTTTATAAACTTTTGGGGGTGGGGGGTAATTATTAAGTTTTAACTTTGGTAATATTTTATAATACAAATGCATTCACATCTCTTGGGAAGAGATTTAAGAGTGAAAGTATTATGTGTTTAATAAAAGAAAATTTTTTTTTGGGCACTATTCTTAAATGTTAATTTATTAATAAAAATTTTAAAATTTTATTCTCTCTAAATACGGGGAAATTTAACAAGTTAAGGTTATTAATTAATCTTTTGATTTTTTTTAGCACATTATTTTAATTATGTTACTAACTGTAACATGTCATAACCTTTTTCAATGTTATTGATATCACTAAAAATATTAATATTATTGTCATTATTATTATTGTCATTAAGATGGTTATGATTATTATTGTCAATAGTGTATGTTGTTTTTTTTCATTTATTCATTTTTTAATTAAGAATATTTTTGAAAATATAATTTATTTTTTTGAAATATTTGACCCGAATTTGAAAAAAGAATATTTGACTTTAAAATTTAAATCATCAAATGGTTGTCCCACAATTCTTCAGTGCTGTGCCATCTCCTATAACAACTTCATTGTCTGACGGTACGATTGGTGCTTCAGTTTAGCACCATTGGCTAAAAATAACCCCAAAGTAGTATGAAATTAACAACCATCAAATCTTACACATGTTAATTCGTAAAGAATGCTAAAACTTGATAAACAAAACATGTAATGATCTAATTTTAAGAGAAAATAAGATAATTGCATAATGAAAATGTATACAATTTGAAGTAAACAAGACAATAATCAAGTACAAAACACGTTAAAAGATTTTTGTTAATTTGTAAGCATAACCAATGATTATGAAATCGAGTGATGTTGCATAAAATTTGTTAAAAGTAACCATATAATTATTATTATTTAAAATGTTAACTAATAATTAACTACATTTTATAAATTTTTCTAAGAACTTCTGTTTTAGGATTGAGACTTCAAAAAAAAAAAAAAAACTTTAGTTAAAAACAAATTCCTGTATACTAAACGCCAAATTAGTGAACAAGACCTTATCCGTTTGGTCCGGGTTTAATTGTGATGCTAGTTGGTTTATACGCAAGTAAAAACAACATTGTTTCTTTTGGAAATTGTAATGATCAATGGAGGGGCAATTCTTCACAAAGCCGCAGACCAACAAACAGAACATTGTAATCTGCCTTGTTGATAAAATTAAGATATACATGTAGCTTCCTTACTTATAAAGTGCAACATTACAATATCTTTTATATCAAGGTAATGAATCCATTTACAATTCAAACCTTCCTTTGTTCCATAACTTAAACTTTAAAATACATTGATAAATAAAGGTAAACCCTCATAAATGTCAAATGACACTCTTGATGCTATTAATTCTTTATATGGCAAATATAGTTATGTATATGTGGTCCGAATAGACAAATGAAAAGAACTGGAAGGTTTTGCTGAGGCTATTGCTCAAGTCTTGAATGGCATATATTATGTCAAAATTCCCTATTCTAGAGAAACTGCATTGCTCCTCAGCAAATCCCACTTTGGACTATTTGGTATCATATATTACCCTTTGGTTCCTTTGCAGATAATTCCCAATAACGGCAGTGTCATATGCATCAGAAAGACTTGCAATGGCCAAGCAAACTTGAGAACCATCCTCTTTCACCATATAGAATATGGCACTTGCATCCACATTCAGCTCAACATTATCCTCAAAATGCATACTTATGTTAGGTATGCTCACTTTCTCATACCCTGTGAGATTGAAACAAGTATCCAAAATTGAAAACACTGGTGCTGAAGGGAAACCATAACTGTTTCAAGAACTCTGCCTTCAAAGCCTTGTACACAGGTGAGGGCAGTCTTGTGATGACTGTGCCAGAATCAATTAAAATCCCACCACTGCCAAAGCCTGGAGCCTGCAAAGCCACACCACCAACATCCATGCCAGTGAGATTAAGAATATAGAAGTTGGAAAGCTGAGGATTTGGAAGCATCCTTGTGTATGAAATGGGAGTAACATTTTTGAAAACTGAAGACTCATTACCCATAACTAATGACCCTGAAGCACCAGCTTCTGTTGTTGGTAAACAGTATGAAAAAACTCCTCCAAATGTTGCATTAGTTTGAGATACCAATGAGAGTATACTTCTTCCCAAGCCCATAAGACCAGATACTCCTCCAAATAGACCCTTGTTGTTCCTACCACAACCAAACACAAAATTACTCACTAAAACACCTCCAAAACTAAGGCTTTCAACGCCTAGGTCACCATTAGTATAGGATCCATCACCATAGTTAACCACATAGTTACAAGTTGAAGGATTGTTTTCACATGTTCCTGTGTTTCCTGCGGCAAGTTGAAGAGACTAGCAGGTTGATGAATTGCATGAAACTGATTGATAGGAAGAGGAGGTTGAAGGCTTAAACACAGGTCCTTGTTGATTATAACATGTCATGCATGGCTCATATTGGACCCATGTTAACTCGCTTCCAGTGTCAATTATCACAGTCATATTCTGTTTATCTATTCCCATAGTCACAATGTAGTTTAAGGTTTGCAAGTTGATACCAGAAGCTAATGGAATTTGGGTTTGTGAAGCTTCTACGTTATGGCTAGAGGATATTTTTCATATCCTGTTTTGAATTGAACGAACGTGAAGTTCATCTAATGTTAACTGCTTCTGAAGCCTTCTATTCCAATCAATTTTCTTCTCTGTGCAGTGTCCTCTGTCCTTCATTTCCATTATAATAGCACCTTTCTCCCTTCCTGAGAATTCACATTCAAAGGGATTTCAATTCTGAACTAATAAAGTTATAAAACCACAGGGTCTTAAGTTTTTAATTTGAAGCAGAATTTATTAATAAAAAATAATATAATCCAAAGTGATATTAAAGTCAAGATATGCTTTGTCAAAGGTAGCAAATCTCTTCTTTAAGACTTTGACAAAGAAAAGAGAGACCGATGATAGTTTTTATTTTTATTTTTATTTTTATTTTTACTTAGATTCTAACAGTAAAAAGAAGAGTAGTTTTCATTAAGGAGTATTAGATCCAAAGTGAAATATGGCATAAAGCTTAGAAAAACAAAACCTATGAACTTCTCATTCCCTCTAAACTCACTCGATTCTGGGAGGAGACAACCCTGGGTATTGTTTCTTCTGCAGCATTTGCACGTTGAACATCTTCTTCATTTCAAAAGAATGCACTCCATTTGCATTGATGAGGCAAAGAGAAACAAGGAACAGAAAGAATGGCAACATTGCAGTAGCCATTACTGGGGATGATGCTGAGGAATTGTAAAGTATGACAAATTAGAAAAAAAAAGTGTTGGAAAAGTTTAAGGGAGAAGAAACATTGAGAAGAAGAGAGAGAGAGAGGAGCGTTGAAGTTGAAGGGTTGATGGAGGAGATTCTGTTTTGTGAAGTGTATTTTGGCATGAGAACGAAAGAGGAAGTGGTGGCTTTTAGACCCCACTTGTGCATGAGGAATTATTGGAGTTTCACGTGCATATTCTCATATGGTGGTGGTGGTTAAGTGGGTCGAGGGACTTCGGATTTTCAATCATCATATTGGTGTCTTAAGCCCTTTCAGATAAGACTCAGTCCCCTCCAAGCGTTACAACTTTTCCACTCAACATGAGAGACACAAACCACATAATTTACGTTAAAATATATATATTTTTTCATTTAAGGGATTCAGATTTTTTTTTCGTTAACTAGGAATTTAATTTTTTGTAAATTGGAAAACTATAATTAACAGATTTATGGGCAAAAGTTACTTTATTTTTATTTTTTAACTTTTTTACTCTGTAATTGATAACTATGTATTTCGTGCTCAATTTCGTATATTAATAATATATATGAAAATATTCTTTTTAAACTCTAATTTGGTACCAGAGCTAGATAATATCGAATGTATGAGCAAATTCGATTATGGAGGTGTTGAAACTAATATGAGTAAGTTTATTATCAAA